CAGGTAATAACAATAACTTTACTTTGTTATTTACTTTGTGTTTTGCAACTTATTTATATTAAATTTTAAAGAATAACTCTATTGTTATATTTATGTATTATAGGTATTTGATGACCCAACAGAATTAACACAAGATAATTTGTATGATTTACGACTTCGTTGGTCAAAATGTTTCTTTGAGTTATATAAAGATTAACCTTTATCTGGTGAGTTTTATAGAAAGATTAACCTTTATATGGTTTTTGCAAATGCATTGAGTTTCTTGATAATTTTTGCTGATGTTAATTGTTATTATTTATTGTCAGGCAATGTGATTTTGGTGTTGTCTACAGAAGCTACAACTCATCTACTTATGAATTTTATATTGGTAATTCAAGTTTGTAAAAAGACTTGTAAAAGGTTGAATATTTTTGTATGTTTTGTGGTATTTGTAAAATTGATGTGAGTTTCTTTGTTGTGATACAATTCAAGTTTGCAATATAATTGTTCATTTTGTAAATTTTGTTGTGAAAATATCGACCTAGATATGGTCTATTTTATGTTGGAAAGCTATGATATATATAGCGACCTAAATGGTCTGTGTGATATTGGAAAAATATGAAAATATTGGTACCAATTTTTTCTTACAGGGAATCATCCAGAAAATAAATGTTTTATTCAAAATTTTTTTTATACTTTTTACATCAGTCATTCTGTCAACCGATGTAAAAACCTTCAACGTGTGTTTTCTACATCGGGCATAGTGTAACAACCGATGTAAAAACCTCATCTATTACATCGGTCATGACTTCCACCGATGTAATATGTTGCGTCAGTTTTCAAAAAAAAAAATATTGTATTTATTTTTCACGTCAGTTATATATTATAACCGATGTAAAAGGTATCCTTTTCACATCGGACCCAGAACCGATGTAAAAGGTCTCTTATTTACTACTTCGCCTGACTTTACATCGGACCAAGAACCGATGTAAAAGGTCAATTTCGCCCGATGTAAAAAGTCATTTCTGCACTAGTGTTATTATCATTTATCCATACCAAAATATGATGGTATGAGCTTCAAAAGCATCAGTGCGTTCAATCTTATGATGTTAAGCAAGTAAGTTTGGAGATTCATGATCAATCCCAATCCCTTTGTGTCCCGTCTATATAAAATCAGGTATTTTCCTAACTGTTGGTTTTATTATACCAGAGAAATTGAGAAAATGGGAATTCAGTATTTTATTCATGACAGCCAAAACACTTCTAGTGTTTACAAAAGTAAAGCAAACCACCACCACATTAGGAACGTGGGGTAACTGACTAGACTTGCTCCTAAAGTTTAGGATCCACTAATTGACTAAAAAAATGAAACAATAATAATAAATAAATAAAAAACTTAATGCAGTCCAAAAGCAAATAATTAACACTCCTCCTTGCTTTAGGATCTACAAACTCCAATTTTCTGCCTCAATAGCTCAAACTTGCTGACAGGAAGTGGCTTTGTAAATAAATCTGCCAATTGATCTTCTGTCCTCCAATAAACCAAAGTCACTTCTCCATTTTGCTACATCTCTCTTAAGAAGTAGAGCTTGATGTTAAAATGTTTAGTCTTTCCATGACACACTGGATCCTTTGAAATTGCAATTGCTGCCTGGTTGTCAATAAACACTTCTGTCTTATGATTCTGTTGGAGATGTAAGTCACATAAGATCTTTTTCAGCCACAAAACTTGATTTACGGCTGCTATGAATTCAGATTCTGCAGTGGATTGTGCTATTGTCTCCTGCTTCTTTGTGCACCATGAAAAAACTCCTGAGCCTAGACTGAAACAATATCCTGAAGTGCTCTTCATGTCATCAATGGATCCAGCCCAGTCACTACCAAAGAATCCATATAACTTTAAATTTTGACAGCTCTCAAACTTGACACAATAATCAGCAGTACCTTTAATATATCTCAATACCCTTCTTGCTGCCTTTAAATGCATTTCACTAGCAGAATGCATAAATCGAGAGAGCAGACTTACAACAAACAGAATGTCTGACCTTGTTACAGTGAGATACATTAAACATCCAATCAAGCTCCTGTAATAGCCTTCATCAACTTTATCAATACCATCTTCCTTGCTCAGCTTCTCCTTTTGGTTCATTGGTGTGCTAACCGCTTTGCACTCCTCCATTTGAATTTTTTTAAGATTTCCTTAGCATATTTTTTTTGACATATGAACACATCATCCTCATTTTGTTTGATCTCAATTCCAAGAAAATAAGACATAAGACCAAGATCTGTCATTTCAAAAACTTGCATCATTTCTTGTTTGAATTCTTCAACCAACCTTGTATCATCTCCAGTCACTAAAAGATCATCAACATAGAGGGAAACTATGAGAGAATTTTTTCCCTTATGTTTTACATAAAGAGTGGCCTCAGATAAGCTTTTCACAAAGCCTGTGCTCAATAGGTGTTCATTTATCCTACTGTACCAAGCTCTTGGTGCTTGTTTTAATCCATAAAGGTTTTTTTTTAGTAGATAGACTTTATCTTCTTCACCATGCATAACAAATCCCTCTGGCTGCTCCACATATATCTCTTCTTGTAAGACTCCATTTAAAAAAGCTGATTTGACATCTAACTGGAATACTTTCCAGCCTTGTTGAGCAGTAACTACTAACACCAATCTAATTGTATCTAATCTGGACACTGGTGTAAAAGTGTCAGAATAATCAACACCAAAAATTTGTGCATACCCTTTTACTACAAGTCTGGCCTTGTATTTATTGATAGAGCAATCCGCATTAAGCTTTATTCTGAAAACCCATTTAACTCCAATAACTTTTCTAACTTGAGGTTTGTCAACCAGCTCCCATGTGTTGTTTTTTTGAATCATCGAAATCTCATCTTCCATTGCCTTTTTCCATTTTGGATCCTTGAGTGCTTCCTCACAGCAACTTGGTTCGCATACTGCTACATTGCATCTTTCATAAATGTCTGACAGCAGCCTTGTGCCTCTAATAGGAGGGTCATCTTCTAATTCATTCTGACACAACTCTGTTGTTTGGTTTCTGCCATAATCATCTTCAATATTGTTAAAAAGTCCAATTGTTTTTTGTGGATCCTTCCAATCCCATTGTTGATCTTCATTGAAATACACATCCCTAGAAACAGTCAACTTTCCAGTTTGAGGATGATAAACTTTGTAGGCTTTTGAAACAAAACTATAACCCATAAAAATACCCGAATTGCTTTCTTGTCAAGCTTGTCGCGCTTAACCTGTGGAACATGTGAAAAACAAACACAACCAAACACTTTAAGAAAGGTTAGTGAAGGCTTATATCCATGCCAAACCTCAAAAACAGATTTGTCTTTCAAAGCCTTGGATGGAAGTCAATTTTGAAGAAAAACGGTTGTGTTTGCCGCTTCGGCCCAAATTTTTTTAGGCAATTCCTTCTCATGCAGCATGCATCTGGCCATCTCCATTACTGATCTATTTCTCCTTTCACTAACTCCATTTTTCTCTGGAGTGTATGGGGTTGTGAGTTGATGTACAATACCAGCTTCTTCACAAAATAGATTAAATTGTGTTGAGGTGCATTCCTTCCCATTATCTGATCTTAGAAATTGTATCTTGCAACCACTTTGAGTTTCCACCATATTCTTGAACTTTACAAAGACTCCAGCCACTTCATGCTTGAATTTCAAGAAAAAAATCCAGCACATTCTTGTAAAATCATCTATGAAAAGAATAAAGTATAGACTACCTTGTAACGATGGAGTTCTTTGAGGTCCTGCCACATCAGTGTGAATGAGTTGCAGCTTTTGAGAGGCTCTCCAAACTGTTTTGGGAAATGACACTCTGTTTTGTTTACCAAATTGACAGGCATTACAATTTGGAAAATGATCAGAAAGTACTGGTAGACCTTCAATCATATCTTTCCTCTTCATGTTCAGCAACCTTTGAATATGACAGTGACCAAGTCGCTTATGCCAGAGTTCAGTGGGACTTACTTGAGTGATGTAAGTTGTCTGCTCCTCCACAATTGGATCAAATGAGAAGCTTTTACCTCTCATTTTAACCCTTAAAATCTCCAGACCGGTAGTGTCAAAGATAAGACAATGTTGATTTTCGAAAAGAACTTTAAATCCCTTTTCTAACAATTGACCCACACTAAACAAATTTTGGTCAATGTCAGGCACATACAGAACATCTGAGATTGTTTTCATACCTGAGCTAGTTGAAATTACAATGGTTCCTTTTCCTTTTGCAGAAATATAATCACCATTCCCAATTCTGACTTTTGAGAATTTTACAGGCTTCAAATCCTTGAAGAGAGTTTTATCATATGTCATGTGGTTTGTACAACCACTATCAATCAGCCAGCATTCAGAACTACTCCTTGCTGAGAAGCATGTTGCCACAAAAATTTGATCTTCTTCATCTTGCTCTACAACCTTGGCATTGGCTTCATGTTGTTGGAATTTGCCTTTTCAAATTACAGCTTCATGTCCAAGCTAATTGCACTTGTTTCACTTTGAGTCTGGTCTTCTCCAACATCTGAACGGTGGGTAACCTATTTTGCCACAATGCTCACAAGGTGGGTAATTTTTCTTTTTACCTTTGTCTTTGCTTTGGTTGCTTTGACTACTTCCAACTTGATGATGCTTTGCTGGTAAAGCACCTTCAACCACATGATCTTGTCTCATAAGCCTTCGCTTCTCTTGGGCCTGTAATGCTTGTAGCACTCCTGCTAAGGTGACTTTGGACAGATCCTTCGTATTCTCCAAAGTAGTTATTGATGCTTCGTATCTCTCTGGCACTGTGACCAGAATTTTTTCCACAATTCTGGAATCAGTGAATTCAGTGCCGAGTAATCTAACCTTGTTCGCAATGGAAAGCAACCTGTCAAAGTATTCTTTGATTGTCTCAAAATCTCTCATTCTCTGCATCTCGAATTCCCTCATCAAGTTAAGCACTTGCATGCCTCGAATCCTCTCATCCCATGCGTATTCTTCCTTTAAGTAGTCCTAAATTGCTTTTGGTGTTTTGAGAGTCATGATTCTGGTGAAGATTATTGATGAAACACCAGTAAAGAGACATGATCTTGCCTTTTCCTTCTTGGTTTTTTTCTCCTTGTGAAATTTTATTTGAGCCATGGTAGGATTGTTCGGCAGCGGAGGAATTTCGTAATCCTCTTCCACGGCTTCCCAAAGGTCCAACGCCTCCAAATAAGACTCCATTTTAACTGCCCAAAGGTCATAGTTGTCTCCATCAAAGGTGGGCGGAGCAATTTGTGAGAAACTTTCTTCACCTTCCATTTTCACAAGCCCCGTAAGAAGAAAGCTCTGATACCAACTGTTGGTTTTATTATAGCAGAGAAATTGAGAAAATGGGAATTCAGTATTTTATTCATGACAGCCAAAACACTTATAGTGTTTACAAAAGTAAAGCAAACCACCACCACATTAGGAACGTGGGGTAACTGACTAGACTTGCTCCTAAAGTTTAGGATCCACTAATTGACTAAAACAAAAACTGAAACAATAATAATAAATAAATAAAAAACTTAATGCAGTCCAAAAGCAAATAATTAACACTAACTGTGACTATCTTAACTCTAATATTGACCACATTCCTAGTTATGTGTGGTGCAGTAACTGGAGTTCCAAATTTATGGTTAAAGGTGGGATAAAATGGAGTATAGGATTGGGAGAGGAAATTTTGGTTTGGGGCCATAATTGGTTATCAGATGGTACATTTCTGATTAATCCTTGGCCTCATAATTTGGTTGTGAGTAATCTTAAAGTCTCATATTTGATGGTCCAAATGGTAAACAGTAAAACCAAGAATTGATCTCAGCGCTTGTAGAGGAAGATACCACTCAAAGGATTCAGAATACTCCTCTTTTCTCTGCGGTCCTGATTGATAAATTGTTATGGAAGCTTGATAATAACGGTGATTTTTTGGTTCGCAGTGCTTACAAATTATGTATCAATGATGCCATCGACACCTCTCATCTTAGAATCAAGGAGAATTGTTTGTGGAACAATTAACCCTCCCAGAGTTAAGAAGTTTATGTGACGTCCGTGTAGAGATTGTGTATCTACTAGAAGGAGAATGTTGGACAAAGGTATCAATTGTCCTTCAAATTGTGTCAGATGTAGGAATGGTGAAGAGAACAACTATGATCTTTTTCTCCAGTGTCCCAAAAGTATTGAATGTTGGAAAAATTTAGGCCTTTGGTCTATGTTGCAGCAAGCTAGTGACAATGGAGAGATTTTTGTGTCTGTAGTTTTTTCTTTTTTGCAGATATCCAATAAAGACCAACGGGAGATTTTTTCCAGTTACTTTATGAGTATCTGGGAAGGGAGAAATAATCATGTTTTGAATCAGGAGGAAGAATCCCCGAATCTTATTTGTCAGCGAGCTTCTCAGATGTTGACAGATTGGAGAGAGGCCCAACAACACTATTCCAATAATAAGATTATTAACCCTTATCCAGAAAGTACCAGATTGACACTATGCCAAAATTGACTTTAGACAGCGCCACATAGACAACGCTTATGCCCTAAGCGCTGCTATAGGTTTTTAGTAAAAAAAATTAAAAAAATTAGAATAAGCGCTGCTAAAGGTATACTATAGACAATGCTTATTATAAGCACTGCTATAGGCCTTACCATAGACATCGCTTTCTTTCCCTAAGCGCTGCTATAGGTTTTCAGTAATAAAAAAAATAGAATAAGCGCTGCTAAAGGTTATACTTTAGACAACGCTTACTAAAAGCGCTGCTAAAGGTGTTATTCTAGGAAGCGTTGCTAAAGCCTAAAGTGCTGCTAAAGGGTATACCTTAGACAGCACTGCTAAAGGGTATACCTTAGACAATGCTTTCCAGAAGCGCTGCTAAAGGCATTACTCTAATAGCGCTGCTAAAGGTAATACCTTTAGCAGCGCTTCTGGAAAGCATTGTCTAAGGTAATTAAATAGTGTCTTAATCCCTAAATTGGTTATCAGATTTCCAGAAATCCCATATTTTACAAACGAAACCCCACACCCAGAAAATGCTCCTGTTCATCTTCTTCTCCAACTCGTCTCCTCCCATTCACCGTCCAAGCGTGGTTCTTCCTCCAACTCTTCTCCAAATCGTCTCCTCACCGTCCAACTGTGGTTCATGCCAGAAAGCTTCTGATTTGTTGTCTCGTTACAGAGAAACCTGATTCAAAAACAGTGTGAGCCTTTACCTAGAAGAAGAAGTTTCGCAAAATCGGTTTCATCTAAGGTAAAATTTCTTCATCCTTTTCTGGTTTCACTATGGAAGCCTGTTAGTAATAAAACAGTGAATTGGAATGGTTTTAACTGTAAGAGTTTCGAGTGTTTGAATGGTAGGAAACTGAATAGAGATTGTGTTCATTGCTTTGATTTGGTTAATGGATATGAGAATCAAAGATTTGTTAAGTCTAAGAGTAAGAATGATTTTCTTGTTGATGATGTTTTGCAATTAGGAAATGGTGGGATTAGAATAGGTTTTGATATTGGAAATGGCTCGGGGTCTTTTGCGGCGGTTATGGCTAAGAGGAATGTTACCGTGATTACTAGTACTCTTAATGCTAATGGTCCTTTCAATGAGTTTATCGCAGCGAGAGGATTTTTTCCGGTTTACTTGAGTTTGGATCATAGGTTTCCGTTTGTTCAATCTAGTATTCAACTTAGTAATAGTAAAAATAACACAAATCATGAATCTTCGAATGAGTTCACAACTAAGCTAATGTCTCTAAAATTGTAACATTGACGATCATTAATTGAATATGTTATAGGACCACAACAGTAACATTCGTGGATATGCTCCTTTCACTCACACGTTATAATCCTCATTTCTAGAATTGTTCTAATCACATGTTTGATTTTTGTTGACAACACACACTCTTTAAATTCATTGTACTCCCACCATATTGCTTATAATCCAAGTTAGTAATAATCAACACAAGAGGTTCACGTAACAATGACATATTCACTTGAATAATAAAAGCATACACTATAGAACTCAAATTTATTTTAAATCCGTGTTGTTGTACCCCAAAATTTGCCCTCTCAATTCTCAAGGCCTTTCTTACAAGGATTTTCAAGGTTCAAGCTTGAACAAGTGCATTTGGATGTTCCAAATACCAAAATTAAAAGGAAACTGTCAAAAATGGAAAAAAACAGATAAAAATATTATTTTGACAAAAATTGGAGAAATACAAGTGTTCTTCGTTTCAGCTCTTTTGATTGGCCTTTAGGCATCTTTCGATCAGCATCCTTCGGTTGACTCTTGGCCTCCTTCGATTACTCAAAATGGATGCTAGCGTGCCTCTTTCGCCTGGGCATGTGACTTCTTGTTGCAGGCTTCGTTTGTGACTTTTGCTGCCTACATTGCTTGCCTTGAAAACCATGTTTGCTGGCCACAAGTGCCCCCTGCATGGTTGACCAGAAACCCTTGCCTAAGGAAAAAGAAATTTTTTGAGCGGTGCTTTAAGTACCTTTCAATTGGCATTCTGAAAGACCCTTCGATTGGTATTCTGAAGGAGCCTTTCGATTGGCATGGATAATTCCCTTCGATTGGCATTATGGACAAGCACTTCGATTGGCATTGTGTCAAGGCCTTCGATTGGAATTCTGAAAGACCTTTTCGTTTGGCACCCTGGGCCAAGCCTTTCAATTGGCATGCCACGGGATCCTTCGATTTAGCATTGGGTCAAGGCAGCTTCGACAGACATGTTAACCATGTCTTTCGATTAGCATGAACAGCACCTTTCGAATGACCTGTTAACAAAGCCTTTCGATTGGAATTTTAACAAGTACCCTTTGATTGGTATATGGACAAATACCCTTCAATTGGCATTTCAAAAGGTCCTTGGACTGGAACTTCAGAGTGTCATTCGACTGGAACTTCAGAGTTTCCCTTAATAAGAACATCAGAGCGAAATGACCTTCGAATGGCATTTCAGTGCAGAGTTTCTCTTAATCTAAGATGCTCTGATGAAGGAAGTTCTGAACACTTCGAATAAGAACTTAGACTCATCACAAGGACAAGGGCTGGTAGAAGTTGTCTAATAGGGAAGGTTCTAAATGGATTCGAATTGGACTTTGAAGCTGGCAAAGAAGGGCCATTCGAAGAACATACAGTTGGCCATTCGAAGAACACACAGTTGGCCCATTTGAAGGACACACAGCTGGTGAAAACGAATGCTGTTTTGTTCCAGTCTGGTTGAAAGGTGTAGAAAGATGGAGGATTCGACTCAAAAGATCAAGTTGGACATTCAGACCCATAGGCTAGGCCACGTGTCTTCCCTTTTTAGGCCTGTACCCATTTATTGTCTAAGACCACTTGCACTTAATAGCACAATACCACCTTTTAGGAAAGTCTGTCTTGAGCCTTGCACCTATTTTTCCTTCAGTATGAAGCAACCCCATCTGAACCATTCATCTTGATTTTTGTGGCACAAGTGGACATTTACTTTCCAGCTGGGCCTTATTTTATTATTTTTGCTCCACAGAAGCATGAGTCACAGCTTCTGCACCCCAACTGCTAAGAGGCCCCCACATGTACTATTTTATCATTTATTTGCAAGGATGGCTTTGGACAACAGGTCCATTCTTTCTCTATAAATAGAGGAACATTTACAAAGCTGAGGGAGGACTTTTTTTGTCCAGAGGAACGTATCTTCAAAATCCTCACACACCACAAAATTCTCAAACACTTAAACACTTAAACACTTAAACACTTAAACACTTAAACACTTAAACACTTAAACACTTAAACACTTAAACACTCAAACACATACCCAGAATTCAAACAACAAATCCAGAACTGCATCCTCCTGCCTAACACCAGAACATCAAACCTGTGTTACAAATACAAGCCTAAGGCACAACAAGCCTTGAGGCCTGCATAACCTCAAAACCTGCCTTCCTTACCAAAGCCAGAAAACTCCAGCCAGTTCAACTGCAACTGCAAACAAACCTGCCTAAAGCCAGTCCAACTGCAACTGCAATCAAGCCTGTATCAAAACTAACAAAAACTCAGACCTACCTGCATCAAATCAAAGAGCAAACACTTATCCCCTTAGAATCTGAAACATCCCTATACCTTGTTACCCTTCAAAACCAGTAGGAAGAACCTCACACTTGCTGCTTCTCTTTCTTATCCAGTATCAAAGACATAACTCCTGGTTCCTCCCTTTGAATCCAGAAGCATTCAAGGAAATCACTTAAATACCCAGCACACGTTCCAGCCTCAAGCAAAGTAAGTCATTCTTAACCTTGAACCCTTCATTTCTGGCAT